CCCCCCCCCCACCTCAGCCCCCTCACCCGACGTTGACTCCCCTCTCACCCGCCCCCGCAACGGCAACGGCCGCCGCGCGCGCTGCCCCGCCCCCTGGGAGGGGAAAGCCGCGCCAAGTCGGTCGCCCCGGCGGGGCGTGATTGGCGTCTGGCCCTGCCAATCCCCTCGCGCGAGCGCCGGCCCCGCGCGCCCCTGGGGGCGGGGCGGGGGCGGCTCTGCGGCGCCCCCCCCCAATCACCCCCCCTCGTTCTACCTCCCTCAGGTCCTCTTCGGCGTGCCCCGCTGTCGGTGGGGTGGGCGGCCGTGAGGTGGGTCCCAGGGGGGCCGATGGCAGCGGGGCTGTGTCCGCCGGCCTTTGTCTGCGGCGGCCAGGGCGGGGGGCAGCCCCCGGTTACGTCAGGGGGCTGTTGTGCCTCTGGGTGGCGGTTGGAGGGGCCGTTGCAGGCGGCCCCCCGGCGGGGTGAGCGTGAGGGGCCGCCGCCTGTCAGCGCTGAGGTAAAGGCGGTTCGTCTCGTGTTAAGGTGCCCGCGGGGAGTAGCGGCATTCGACCAGCCCTTCTCTTTGTTAAAGGGGTTTGGAAGTCAAAATCGAGGTTTCTTCCATCCTTTCCTTCCGTCGACACCTCCCGCGGGTTGCCTCAGCCAGAGGTGACAAGGCCCGGGGGCTCCCCCCGGCCTCACTCCGGCAGCTGGGGGTGACCCAGGCCGGCCGATGGCGAGCAATAACCCCGGCTGGCTGGCCTGAGGGAAGGGAGGACAGCCCTCCCTGGCATCCCCGGGGAGAAGAGCCGGGAGGGCAGCGCGGTCGGTGAGGGTGATGAGAAGGAGCAAGACCATAATTGTACCGTGGAGGTTGTGCTGAATGGCGCGCCTTCAGATCACCTCCCACGTGAACTCGTACGCACTACACACAGAGAGACACAAGAAGAACTATTTTACGATGTTTTCTAGAGTTTAGATTTTAACATACTCTGAATTTGTATTGAGTCTGCCAAGTGTGAAGTTACACGGCTTAGTTGCATTCATACAGTTTGGGATTCAGAGGCCACATGGTCCGGCATTAACAGCATAATTAATAGCATTTCTTTGCCGAAGAATATCATCATTTCAGTGCCTCAAGTCTTCAGAGTTTCCTGGTCTAGCTATAAGCGCCATACTTTTAATTCAAAAGATGGAAGACTGCTTTGTAACAAGTTACATTTCCCATCTCTATTGCAAGATAACGCACTTCAAAAGTATGATATTGAACTACAAAAGATGGTCTTTGGTTCAAGATCAGTTCATGTTGGTTATGGGGCATTGGTCATGTGTCTCTTTTGAAAGAAAAGGGAAATATTTGTCTGTCGGGTCTGGTAGATGTTGAGTAGCAAAATCATCTGCTGAAATGGATCCATGAAAATAAGCGATGTTATTGGTAAATGAGAAATTAATACAACACATCTATACAATTTAACTGACTGTATAGTTTACCACACGAACGTTATCATGAAGCACTGTGTCTTTGCAAGACCATGAATGGGAAGAGGATAGAAAAAGGTGAATAATTAGTAATGTGTAGGTTCTGTACCAATGACTAAAAGCACATCACCACTTACAGGAGGGTATGGTAATATTTATTATATTAAGGTGCTGTTTTTACAAGTGGCTTCAAGTATTGGTGACAACCTGTACAAACATTTATAATATTGCTGTCATAACACCCTACTAACACCACGTGTTGGCACCCTTTAGCATTTTAATAATTCACAGGCAACAGGAAAATATTGCAGAGCAATATTTATGATGATAAATTCAGTAACAATCTCAGATGGTTTACCTATTAGTTTATTCATTCCCAATCCACAGCTTCAAAAGAAATGCAACCTACACCCATTATAGCATCATATTACATGACTTCACTTGCTTTCTCAATCAAGAATAATCTTATCATTGCCAAGTGTAATGTCAAAAGCATTTCACATTGTCCCATCAGCTGATCAGTTTAAAGAGAACTTAGGATGTCTGGTGTTAGACTGCTCACCTGAAGAGGGTATTGAACACAGAACTTTTTAATTCACTTTGTGTGTACAGTTCCTGTGTAGCCTCAGAAATGAGCAACCAGACAGCAAAGGCAGCAGAACAGCTTTGATGTAGGTAATTGATCTTTCAGAATGCCAGCTGGAACAGAGTCCTCTGCACCTGCAACAGCCTCTCTGGTTTACAAACACATTTTGTCTCCTGTCCTAAACAAACAGGGATAAAAAAACCCCATCTTTGGCTTTTTGCCATCTCTTGTGGATTGCTTCTTACATGCTTTGGCCACCAAGGTCTGGAAGCTGAGCAAGATGACTGTGACAGCACTTTAAATTCACTGATACCAGTCAGCACTGAGTTCCAGTGTGATGTTTTTGGCACAAAAGCCCTAGGCAATACTAAGCAGGAGCAATATTACTATTCCTTGCGGTATGGCAAGACAGTTACTCAAATTCTGTTAGTTTATAATTCATCTGGCTAGTCATAGGAGGAGTAATGGACAGTATTTCAATGACAACGCAGTGTTTCTAGTAGTATGGTGCTTCGTAACACGAGGCAATGCTTTGATTTACTACTGACATCAGAGAAAAAGTCCCATCCAAATGATTAAATCTACTTCCTATCTCTAAGATGTAGATATCAACATAGGACTTCTGACCAAAGACTGGCCAATTCTAATGCTAGTAAGTGCAGGGAGTTTGAGAAGTTCCTATCTTAAAAGGGTCATAGTTGCAGACAGAAATTCTTACTTCCCACCAAGTGAAGAGCTCTTATCCAGATTCCTCAATTCAATCATTTCTTAGATCCAGCACCTCTGTCTTTGTGTCAGCTCCTGTTCTTTGATCTATGAATTCTTTGACATTTTCCAGGGAAAAAGAAATGCAAGTCTGAGTGATTCAAGATGAGAAATGGCTAAGCAGCACATTGAAGACTCTAGTTCGGTGAGTTATCTCATTGCTAATCTTACCACGTGCCACGTTTAGTGAGATAAAGAGTTGTGGTCTAAGAAAAGTTCGACGTCTGTGCCATAAGTCTGGTTATTTCCTAGACACTTCATTTTAATTGAAATTCATAGGATAGCAATATTTTTCCAAGGGAAGCTATAGAGCTTTCTGACATACAACAAGATTTACAGAGTCAGGGGTACTATCTACCTCAGAATATTTTTCAATCTAAATGTCATACTAGCTTGTAATGCCACTTGTGTTCATATGATAGTTTTGCAACCATGAAAATGCTTTGTTTTCTTCTTCGATTTAAAAGGAGTTCTGAGGTAAGAATTTCATAGGACCAAACTCAAGTGGTGGTGTATGTTGTATTGGCCTTGGTGGAATTACATGCTGTGTCTCAGCTGTGAACATGACTTCAATTTCCCACAAGAATAACACAAATATTTTCTATTAATTCACAAGTGCAAGTACTGTCTAATTACTGTTATGGCTAACACGGGTTAGTGGCTTTCTGGTGAGTATTGAGCTGCTTTTTCAGTTTGAAACTTAGCTCTCAATACTCGGTAATAATATCCTCTTGCAGAACCAACCCAATATCATTATAATTTGATAACAACATTGTTAGTTGTTAGTTGTAACAAAGTGTTACACATATGTATACATCTACAGAGTTAGAAGCCAGAATCTGAACCTAAGGCATACTAAATAAAATAAGCAATAGCCAATTGCTTGTTCCAATTTTACTTTCTCAAGACAATGTGTATCTGAGCCTTCATTTTCTTTTTCCAAATGCTGTACTTTTGGTGTAAGGATCCCTCATTTCATATATTCTTAAAGTAGGAATAACTATATAAAGAAACTGCAAGTTGTATTCACTCCAGTTCCCACCAGCATTTGGCAAGTTTTGTAATAAAGATGATGAGAGCTACAAACTGGGACGCAAATTACTTAAAGAGAACTACCAAGTATCAGCAATAATGGTCACAAAGTCTACTCAGCCAAGTTCTGTGGGTTGCAGTCTGCAAGCTGGTTTGTACAAGATGAGCCCAGACAAGTCTTGCAGCAGTCTAAGCAGATAGACACGGAGGCGCAGCCTCACAAGTGCCTTTGCAGCAAACATATGCAAAATGAGATATGCAGACCATTACTGCCAGAAATGCTGTTTTGAAACCGTAGGGGAGAATAATGCACCCTGCCCTTTCTTTCCTGTGAGAGAAGGAAGAGGTATTTTTTGTGTCAGGCACCTCGGGCCAGGAGCTGCTACCTCTGCTGCTTGTGAGAGGAAGGGATGGGAGTGGTGTCACGCTTCCTCCCTCACCCTGTGCGGTCAGAGGCAAGGGAGCAGCTGGGGCTGCAGCTGCACCGTGGGGGTGCTTGGGGCAAACATTCAGAAACGCAGCTCTGTTTCTGCAGTGCAATGCCTCAGCAAGCCCCTGGTGTGGAGATTTTTACAGAGCTCTTTCTTATTCATTCCCCTGACAAGTCTATACAATGGTGAAGCAGGAACAGCATGGCTTACCTGGTCCGTAGCTCACTGTGACTGCAGGTGTGGTTCCAAATGCTCTTGCATGCAAACTGGCTGCAAAATGCATTAACTATAAGGTACTTCTTACTACCATTTTACATGCAGGACAGTGATGGGGCTTAATGAGATAAAGATATGCATTATTCTACAAAAGAGACACAGATTTGCAGTCCTGGATTAGGGGTAGCTACAATCAGAATATGGGCAGTCGCCTCCCCTTTTATTACCAGCGCTACAGGACCACAGTAGTTAATATGGATATAAACTCAGATTCTGTTAAGTGCTAAATTTATCCTTCTAGTTTTGTATTGCTAAAGACACTGGACAAACTCTGCAAACTATTGTAAACTATTCCCTTCCCAAACACAGACTTGTGTATACCTGAAGGTTCTGGTGTAATTCTTGATGATGCTCTGTCCAAAAGGGCAACTAATGTTTATCCTATGATGGAGCACCATACGATTTTCCTAAGTTAAGGTCCATTAGATTTTTCAAGGCCCTCTGAGTTGCTCTTGGCCATTCTTCATCAAGTAACACAGGACACCCTCACTTCACAGCTCAGAGGTGTAACATACAGTGTTTACTGTGTAATAGCACTCAGGAGAGTGAGGATTTCCTCTGAGTGTGTTTTTAATGGTGATAAGATTTTCTGCAAATCCACCATTTTAAGTAATCTTTGAGTATGTTTCCCTTCAAGGGAAACTCAGCCCTAAGCCACTTGTGCTTTCCCCAGCCCGGCTCCTGCGCAGATTTTTGTTTTTCCTGGGAGCCTGGATCAGGGTTGTCCACATGAACAATCCCTCAGGAATCAGCCTGGCATCACTTCCCAGGCAGATCTGTAAACCTGTCAGAAGGTCAGGGAGTGGGAGCAGGAGGTAGGATGAGAAAGCACAAGACTGCAAATCTGGTTGTTGTAGGCTTTAAATGCAAGTTGCAGTCAGAGTGGTGGGAGGGGAGACTAGCAGACCAGTTAATCTCAGAGCCCAGGTTTTAGACAAGCTTTCAGCCATGGCCTGGCCAAGAGTTGAGCTAAACAGTGTTGGACTAGATGTTTAGCCAGCCTGGTCAACAGTTCAACCTCCAGACCTCTGTGCATGTAGGACCTTCAATCATCTTGCTGAGAACAGAGTGGGAAAAGCCAACTGTGCAACAAGCTCTCATTTTAAATCTGAGCAACACTTTTTCCATTGGTTTTTGATTCAAACGTCTGTAGAGAGCCGAAGGGACTCTATGTCATTGCCTTCACAGCAAAGAGTTGATCCAAAAACCATCTGGGGATAGTGACAAGGTCCTCAAGGGAGTCAGCACCTGCTGGAGGAGGCCCCAGATCTTCAGTGCAGTCCAGCCACAGGGTACCATCTACTAACCTCTGGCAGGAACATACTTGCTCATCTGAGCTATGGCAATAGCTGTGGCAAAAGGGCTGCTATCTCATCAGTGGCTCCTGTCTGTCAGACTACATGACAGAGCATATCCAGGGCCTCTAACAGTTTATCAGGGCTGTACAAGAGTTCTGCAAGTGAGCTGATAATCCCAAAGGAAGGTGGTTGATATGTTTAACCCGATTTCCTCACGATTTTGTGTCCAGTTCTTCATACACACCTTCTCTATTCACCTCTGACAACAGTTACCACATAGCAGGATCAAAGATAACGGAGTTTCATTTACCTTTGGTATTGACACTTTTGATTTCTCAGATGTTACGCAAAGGCAGCTGCCACAGCAAATATAGCACTTTAAATAGCACCAGTGAACAGGTATTTTACAGCAATATTCTGTATAGTTTATATCAGTGGACCTGCTTATGAACAAGGTAAATAGAAAACATTTTTTAAACATTCCCAAAAGGAATAAAATAGAAATATTAGAGTCATCACAAAACTATACTGTGTTGTTAGGGCTTTCTACTTCCCATAGTATCACAGGAGGAATACACGATGCCTGTGGTAATGCTACATCTTTGGCAGTTAGCATGGAGTTTGTGACAGGATCAAGTAGCAGAAAATAAGATTCAAGCTAGCCACACAATTCTTCTACTTGCTGGGAAACTCCAGCATTTTGAAGAGTTCAAGGAGCAAGTAAACTGGGTCCAGACTTTGTTTCTGGACTATTTCCAAGTGCAAGGTTACACTTCATAAATAAACTGGACATATTACCCTTCAGGCACCTTTAAAATGAAGGCAATTCTGAAAAAATACCCAATTTACTTGTTTGCAAGTCCAGTAAGGGGAAATTTCCAAGCCTTTCTCACTCTTTCCTGTTATATTAACAAAATCAGAAACCTTCCTGCAGATGCGAATATTCTTGTTGGGTTTAACAATTGCTTTTGAAGTCTGTTTTTTCAGAGGCTTGTCATTTGCTGTATGCTTCACTGCCTATGTTTCTCTGTGAGTTTGGATGGGTGGAGTTCATTTTAATTTCCTGCTCTTCTTCTACCACACTAATTATACCATCAGCTTTTTTTGCTGTCATAGTGCTTTAACGAAATTGAGCTGTGACTGATACATTCCTGAGAGAATATTTGGAAAAGAAAAGAAATCCCACCCCAGACCTATTTCCAGATTCATCTCCATCTTACCATTTCTTGTACCACATCTTTAGGCACATCTTCAGCCTCTCACAAAGCTGACAAAGGGCCTTGAGACTTCCAGGTTTGATATTTTAGATTACACTACCTCGGAGGCAGGGTCTGTCTCTTCTTCATTGCTACAATTGGTAAGCACAAAATGCTACTGTTGCGACAGCAGAACAACTAAAGTAATTTTAATTTAAAAATGCACCTCTGTTGTTTTGAACTCAGGGATACAAGTATATCTATAAACACACAATGTGGACTCGGTAAATACAAATAATGGATCTGAAAATGTGAAGAAGAGATAAGGGGGGAGGGGGGGAACAGCAATATCTTCAAGAAACAGATGCCTACTTTGTCTATTCCTCTTGTCTGCTTTCAAGCAGGAGAACATCTGCCTTTTGAAGTAGACCTCCTTGCTCTGTATAATTTATCAGTCTGCAGTCATCAGGAAAGGTGATGTTTTTCACCCTGAAGTATTAATCTTTTTGAACAGACTGACCATGAGCAAAATATTTTTCCTTTGGACATGGAAAGCTAATTTTGTTCAGGATAGACATTTCTGTCCCAAACACAGTGACATAAATGTCAGTTTCTAGTTTTACAAATTTTATGTCACCAAATTCACCAGACCAAAATATGTGGCTGCTGTATCACAACTTCTCAGGACTTTATTATGCTATATCCCAGCCTGAGTGATGAACTGTAAAATGTATCACACTTATGCATATACCTATGAAATAAAAGTCTCAATTGAAAGCTGTATTACACGTGCAATGGAATGGAAAAAAGAACAGGAGTAGGAAGCTTTTCCTTTTTGTCTTGCAAAACATCTATCACTTTTCTTAGATACTAGCACGGCTCTTTCAGTATTTTTGAAAAGTTTGAACTGTT